GCATACAAACTTTCAGCTTGTCAGCATAAAAAGGAAACGTAAAACAGGCTTTTGAAAATCGGCAGTCAGACTATGCCTCTGAAATGAGGTTGAAATAATAATGGAACAGTCTCCAATAAAGGAACGTCTCCATTAATAGCACGGGGCGGAGGTACATTGAAAAAATAAAGGACCGTGCTTATATTAGAGATAATACGGTATGCAACAACGTGGTCGCCAGGCAGTGGATCATGCGACCACTTGGGCCGCATAAGTAGTATAGTGACGTAGGGGTTCTGGGACAAAGTTAACCTTAGCCATATAAGTATGAATTATCCAGATATGGTAGATGACCGTTGACCTTTTTTTGACCTTTAACCTTTGGGGTGACCTGTGCATATCATATACGGATGAATCGTCCATATCAGGAATTTGACCTTTAGATTAACCTCTGTACTATATATGGCAGAACTGGCCATACATGGTGATATGGCAGAATTGTGCTCTCCGTCTGCACGCTGGTGTTGTCCGACACTGTTATGCCATCGTCTCGAATGTGGATGGTATGCACCATCAGGGTATTCTTGACGATTAGACACGCTGATGGTGTCATAGTTGCCGTGCTACATTTCTGACTTCCACTCAGACAATACTTAGAGTCGCTTAGCCTTGCTGCCATCGCCACATAGTAGACCGGGGAACATGGTGTCCCGCTTCCTTCTTCATTCATCACTTCTCCAATCCATTGCTCCAAAGAGCCATGGAGTACGCCTGCCATTGTCTGACTCCGGCAGGTTGCATAACTGTCACCATAAACATCTGAGCCTCTTCAAACTGCGCAAACCTGCCGGAATCGAGACTGACACGCGGGACATACGCGCTCCTGTCCTCCAACTCCAACACGCCTCTGCTTAGACCGCAGAACATCTCCTCTGCCTCATTCGCACTCAGCAATCTTGCCGTTCTAATTTGTTCGGCACGCTCTAGAATCCGTCTACGCGCATCATCACTTGTTCTCGATAGTCTGGTTACCAGTTTGCTATCGCCCAGAGGGGTGACATGAATTACGTAAAGCATAGTTTATGGTAATGACTGAAAAAACCCACAAACAGATTTAAGAAGGATTTGACTAGAATGACTATGCTGTTCTGAAGTATTGCACTATACATAGCCCTGTTTCTTCCATGGGGTGATCATTTCTTCTCCACAAATCAGCGAGAAGCAGCTGCATTCTTCGATAAATTGAGTTCATCAGCTGCTGTTGAACTATTGCACCATGCACATAGTGCACTATCTCTTCCCAGAGGATCGTCATCAGAAGACGAACAGTATCAATAACAACAGCAACAACACTGTTACAGTATATCTTACTGGCTTTCATAACCTTCCTCGTCTTCTTCTTCTTCTTCTTCTTCTTCTTGATTATCATCATCATCTTGATCATCTTCATCTTCAGGATCCAGAGCCGGATACCAGCGTTCATGTGGGTCTCCTGAAGGCTCCACATGAAAATTGACACGAACATCCTCCGTGTTCTGTGGAGCCTCCAGGAGTTCAGTGCTCTCCACCTGCACACTGGTGTTGTTGCTCACCGTTGTACCGTCTTCTCAGATATGTATGGTTTGCACCATCAGGGTCTTCTTCACTATGAGACACGCTGGTGGTGTCATAGTTGCCGTGCTACATTTCTGACTTCCACTTAGACAATACTTAGAGTCGCTTAGCCTTGCTCCCATCGCCACATAGTAGACCGGGGAACATGGTGTCCCGCTTCCTTCTTCATTCATCACTTCTCCAATCCGTTGCTCGAAAGAGCCATGGAGTACGCCCGCCATTGTCTGACTCTGGCAGGTTGCATAACCGTCACCATGAACATCTCAGCCGCTTCAAACTGTGCAAACCTGCCGGAATCGAGACTCACTACGCGCTCCTGTCCTCCAACTCCAACACGCCTCTGCTTAAACCGCAGAACATCTCCTCTGCCTCACTCGCACTCAGCAATCGTGCCGTTCTAATTTGTTCGGCATGCTCTGGAATCCGTCTACGCGCATCATCACTTGCTCTCGACAGTGTTGTAATCAGTTTGCCATCGCCCACAGGCATAACATTAATAACGTACAACAACAACATAATGGGGTATGGAAAAAGACTCTGGCTACAAAAAAAAGTAACATGAGACTTACACATACTGTCTTGTCTGTGTATCTTGTGATTTCACCTCAAATTCACTATTTATACTAGGACATAAATTTAATAAAGAAGAAAATACATCACGTAGCAAATAAAGGAGGCAGACACACACACACACATACACACGCGCGCGTGCGCGCACTCTCAAGCAACTGAATATACGTGTGCACATACACACGCATTCAATCACTCTATTCGCTTAGGGATTACCCGATGGCCGTAGGCGAGAGTCGTGATACCATCATCAAGAATGTACCTTTTTCAGTGCCGTCTTTTTCATCGTCTGGCCATAAATATGGTGGTGGTCGCTTTGAAGACTTGTCATTGACCTTGAGATAGATGCCCCCTCGGTCAGACACCTTCTGTATTCGTCAATAGTGATCGTGTCTCGTAGCACGTTTTTCTTCACGCCTTTCGCACGCTTGCATATCTTCATGCAGGCTCTCCGTCTGGATCTCAATAATGACACTATCCGTGTCAGTATATAGCAAACGAATACCATCGCCATATCTCTCCTTCATTACCTTGTAGTAAAACGAAAACATCAAACACTTCGACAGATCTAGAACACTCGTCCATATAAGGAATTTGACCTTTGCCCTTTGGATTGACCTCTGTACTATGTCACTTCGCGGTACGGGGGTGCCGGAAGGAGTTCGCACGACGTCTCCAATGGCCTCCCCCCCCCCCCCCCCCCCATAGATCTACGTGCGGACGGTGGCGGAGACTGCGTACCGTGTGTTCGGTGTTGGGTCGGTCCGCCATGTTCCAAGACACGTCAGCACAAACGGTCACGCGTTGTACGCACTGTTCCAGAGTGTCGTTGGCACAAAGCAGGCCGGTAATGGGGTCAAGTATCAACAACGTGTCAACAAAGTATCAACGTGTCAGCCACGTGTACAGCGGTACACTCAGCGGTACACTAATTCTCGTGTCACCAAGCTGAAAACATCGAGCATCAGTATGGAAAGGCTTTAGACAGAAAGCCTTTACAATATCAAGAGTTGCACACACTTTTGCTGGCTTATATACTCTTGGTATCAGCAAGAGTACATAGTAGAATAGTATAGTATTTATTCATACTTCTCTAGGGCAGTCCCCACAGACCTATGGTCTCCTTACGGGGTACCCTAGCCAATCTAGGATTGCGATACGAAATTGACTTGGTGAAGCAGCAAGGCGGACCGATGCCGGAACTGAGTTCCAGCGGTTAGCAGCTAAATAAGAAAGAGAGGAATAACCAAATCGAGAGGAGGCTCGTGGCAGCACAAGTCCAAGCGAGACTTGAGACCTTGTGCAGGTGCGGCTACGTGCCTCAGAATTGGCACGAAGGCAGTAAAGGTGGCACAATACATAACCCCCAAGAGTGTGCAACCGCCTGCACAACCTCTATGCAGTGCTGCGACGGCAGAACTTCACATCACGTGACATGGTCCGAAACACAGTACACTCCGTACGTTGGCAGACAGTGCAAAGTCACCACAAGAGAGTTGTACCCAAAGCTGGCTTGCATCAAGAGTACATGAAAACCAGAGTGTGCAGCTCGGATGGGTTGCTGTCACGGCGGAATTCCGTGATTACATCATTTTAGTGATGTAGTTCGTACAAGCAGGATTCAAGCAGGTCTCTTTCTGCACAACTGCAGCTCAGTTGTGCGCACTACGCCATTTCCCGCCTCAGATCTGCACCAAATATGATTAAATCGCGGAATTCCGCCGTGACAGACACCCATAGCAGAGAAGGCCCCAAGCTGCACACTCTGGTTTTCATGTACTCTTGGTTGCATGCAACCCTGTATCGGCAAAGAGTGCGAATAAGGTGTACGGGTTCATCACGTGATGTGAAGTTCTGCCATCGCAGACCCCATAGCTGGAGTTGCACACTCTTAGGCTGTGTTTACATGAGAAATTTCAACCCGGGTTGAAAGGCTGTACGATAGACAAAAGAGGTGAGCGTTTACATGAAGACAGTTGACCCGGGTCAAATACTGATATGCCGCCAAAAGTCCACTTCTACAGTCCTGTATGGTCACGTGAATCCGTTCGCGCGAAATTTGCATGTGCAGTGCTGTTCAAACCTGGCGCGAGATACGCACAGAAGTACCTTTGTACGATTTTCTTGACCCGGGTTGGTTTCAACCCTCCCCTTGGGGGGAGGGGGAGGGTTGAAATCAACCCGGGGTGAAATTTCAACCCGGGTCAAGCGCAATGCGTCATAAACGCGCCATTCACTTTGTGCACATGGCGGGTTGAAATCTGACCCGGGTCGAACTCAACCCGGGTTGAAACGCCTCATGTAAACACAGCCTTAGGGGTTACATACTCTTGGTATGGGAATGTCGTATACAAACACCGTAGCTGAATTTGAATGAAAAATCAAGAAAAAGATACAAATCGCTGCGAGCAGGGTTCGAACCTGCGCGGGGAGACCCCATTAGATTTCAAGTCTAACGCCTTAACCACTCGGCCATCACAGCTGCCATGGTTTTAGTCATGTCCTGTAGGAATTAGTAGCAGCACGGTGGCTGGTATGTTATCACTCCTGCTCACCCTGACTTGCAATGTCTATCACACAAGTTCATTTCGTTTTGGTGTTTGTTTGTGTGTGTTGGTGTGTGGGTGTGTACGTATACGTGTGTGTGCGTGTGTGTGGGTGTGTTTGTACGTATACGTGTGTGTGCGTGTGTGTGGGTGTGTTTGTACGGATATATGTGTACGTGTGTTTGTGTACGTGTGTGTGTACGGATATATGTGTACGTGTGTGTTTGTGTACGTGTGTGTGTGTATATGTGTGTACGTATGCATGCATGTGTGTGCATGTATGCGTACCAGTATATGATGCGTGTGTACGTGTATGTGTCCTGTTCAGAGAGCTTACCTGTGTTTTGTCGGTTTTGACTGACAATGGAATACTTCACTGCGAGATGAAGATCTGCTGAAGGTGAGCCGGTACTGCATTGCTATGGCATGTCCTGACTGCACTAATGTGTACTGCCCCCCCCCCCCGGGCCATTTCTATTCAAAACAGAGAGGTTCCAGGCTGTCCAAGAGAGTGCTCAACACCGAGTGGTAGAGCTGGTTCAAACAATAGGAGGACAGAGAAAGTGTTTTTACTCCGAGTTTCACGCACTAAGCGATCATCCTAAAACAGCCATTTCTATTCCGTAGGAACGGGCTTGTTTTTCACTTGGTTTGTTCATGAGCCACTCAGCATACAGCTAATCGACATCTGTTCCATATTCTTGACCTCCACTCCCAGTTTTATACTCCCTACAAAATTACAACCTGATCTGGTTGTAAAAAAGAAGAGAAGAAACACATGAGAACGAGTTATGCAGCAACTATCTGATCTGGTTTTGTGCTTCAGTGCATGCTACTGTGTATGCTACGTACCAGGATCATGATGTGCTGTGTACAGCTTATGCATTTCCTGACTTATTGCGGTATGCCAAACCATGCCCCGAGAGATTGTTCACTAGTGCCGAGGGTTAGTACAGAGCCCGGGAATACACACCGGGAAGAAATACTCGGTTCGAAAGTCAGCACGCACTGGGTGTTGATGGGCTTTGACAGTGCCGTGTTCTCCGGAGTATAAGCCAAGCTTGTAGTCCCCCCGAAAAAGTCACTGCGGCATATATTGTAGTACACTGTATCGCGTATAAAAGCATGACCTGTATAGAAGCATGACTCGAATAGAAGCCGGGTTTTTTTTAAGCGCGTCGTGACACAGAAGCATGGTTTGAATAGAAGCCGCTCCCTGCAAAGTACATGTGCACGTACATGCGTGGCAGTATGCACTGCACAGTGCAGACTGATGATGTTGATGCAGAAGCATGTTTTAAATAGAAGCACGGTTTGAACCCCGGCTTATACGGCCGTAAGCACCTGTTTTTATACGGGACATTATGGTATTACGACGGTCAAATGAACTGTAATAAACAGCGTAGATGTCTGTATTTCATGACGAGAAAACCTGGGTGCGGCTTACACTCCAGTGCGGCTTATATTCCGGAAAATACGGCACTGATCCAACCAGCCTTGGACTTGGGTCAAGTATCTCCTAGCACACGGTTTGTCACATGACATGCCATTGCTGGCTGGGATAGCGTCGCACTGGTCACTCCATTGGTCCCTTGTCTTCACCTGTTGATGTGTCTCCCATATGGTCTAGTGGTTAGGATTCGGCGCTCTCACCGCCGCGGCCCGGGTTCGATTCCCGGTGTGGGAACATTTGTTTTTTTTGTTTTTTCTTACTTACAGAGGTTTGGCACCATTCGGCCCAAAGGACCCATGCACTTTTTATTGGCTAGCAACAAAGCCTGTAAACTTGTTTTAGGATTCTGGAACACTCGGATGGTTTTGAGACTAGTTTTGAGTTGATATCTCGCGACGAAGGTCTGTGCCCAGTCCATGCTTTGCGCATGCTATGTGCGGCATGCGTCATGCGTCCTGAAAAAAGGTGACCCCATTGGATTTCAAGTCCAACGCCTTAACTCTCGGCCATCACAGCTGCCATGCGATTCCGTGTACAATGTAGTAATCAGAAAGTGTAGGCTGTGCATAGGTAACTGTCTTGGCCGTTTTATGCCGATGTACTCCGTGTGGTGTAGACCAGGTGTACATTGGTGGTGGATTCACATGGCTTCGCCAGTTGTGTGGATTAGACAGTTATCTGGCGCAAGTCTTGATCTGTCTCATTCAGATCTTGTTCGCTATCGTTGCTATAAGAGAAAATCTGTGGGTGCACATCCAGTGCATTTGCAGATTTGCGTGCTTCTCTTGCGACGGGCGTATATATGGTGTGTGTGTGTGTGTGTGTGTGTGTGTGTGTGTGTGCGCGCGCGCGTGCGTGTGTGTGTGTGCCACTTCAATCAGCTGTGTGGTGGATACCAGGCTAAAGTTAGTGGCGGTCAATTCATCAGCCTTGCAAGCTGTTGAATGGTGTAATCCCAGCACAAGTTGCTATGTCTAAACATAGCTGTTCGCTATCATCGCTTCTGCGATGGGCAGGTCTGAGGTGTGTGTGTGTGTGTGTGTGTGTGCGTGCGTGCGTGTGTGTGTGCACGTGTGTGTGTGTTGTGCACACATGTTGTTTAGAACCCGGCCATGCTGTGCGAACGCTTAAGTCACTCAAGGTCCGGTACAGCAGTGACACGCAAATGGTGTGGATCGCAGAGTTCATGTCATGTTCTCCAACCAAGTGGATACGCTTGGCATTGGTAGAGATCGCCGCAGGTAAGCACACACCTCCCTGCGGTGATACCAAGCTCTTGGTGACATACCACATTTCCCGTTGTAAGTCGACTACCGTGACCCGTTTTTTAGTTCCGTTTTAGGCCGTATAAGGTCGACTAATTTTCGGGGAAATACGGTAGCTAAAAGCCTAAAACTGTGCAACTCACCATCCACTCGGTGTACTGTAGTAGTCTTGACAGTCCTAGCAAAGCCGAATGCAGCCTGTTGGCATGGACATGTTCCGAACAAGTCCGTTGATGCATGCTCTTCCATTTTCAGTGGTTTCCCACGTCATGTACAGCTACAAGTTTCATTTACTTTTGGAGAATCCTTCAAGTATAGTATGAATGAATGGATGTAGCTACTGTGGCAGTCGGGGGGGGGGGGGGGGGGGGGGCGTCGGAAGGTATTCGACATTGGTGCGGCTACATGAGTAGGTGGGGTCCCCCCCCCCCCAGGGAAAATTTAGGGAAATTGGGCCCAAATAGCCCATAATTCACTGCTTCAAAAGTCACAAGATGAAATTATTGATACGGCTTTGGCTGAACCTACCACACTGGTTCCGACGCCCCTGTGTGGTATGCTGTAAAAATCTGTTCAGGTGACCACTCTGATAAGGCGACCACATGTCCTAGAGGACCACTACAACCAGGACCAAAGGGTGTTATTTCTCAGTCAAATGATCCTGGATAAGGAGACCACCTGTACACAGGGACCACATACTCATCAACTTCATTAAAATCACATGCTGATGTGTCTCCCATATGGTCTAGTGGTTAGGATTCGGCGCTCTCACCGCCGCGGCCCGGGTTCGATTCCCGGTGTGGGAACATCTCTTTTTTTTCTTCCCTCTAAAAAATTGCTTGGGTGGCATTATTCTGGCGGGTTCATTTTTAGTTGGTGCACTGGTGGGCTTCCTGCTGTCTGTTGTATAGTCATTTTCAGCATTACCGGTCGAAGCCACTTAAATACATGCACCCAAAAGAGAGAACCAACCTTGCAGAGGTCACGAACAACATGCTCGTTGAAGACATTTCGTGTCTTCTCCAGCTTCAGGGCCAGGGACATTAGGCGCTTATTGCTGATTCGGAAGTTATCGGACAACGTTAAATGGACTTCCTTCCAGGGGAGTCGTACGGTGAAGCGTCCCTCTTCGAACACCACCGTCTCATTGAATGCCGCTTGGACCTGATTTTCCGTTATTGGGTGTATCCCAAGCGACTCCAGCTCCCAGAATTGTTGCAGCTGCTGATCTAGGACCTGCGCTGTCGCCATTAAACTTTGCACCTCAGTAGCGAGGCATGTACCTGCCATACTAGTTGATGCACCTGATGCAAGACCCAGCCAAGATGCGTATGGATGGCAGTCAGACCAGATGCCGCCGTGATCGTCTTGCCCATCATGAATTGCCAGTACTGATCAGCTCCAATCAATCCATCGATTGTGGCTGTGCCGTCGCTGTCGTCTGCCAGTGTGATGTCTTGTAACGCACCGCAGCACTGGACTGCTTGTGCAGGGTGCTGGTTCTGGACTGGTGCACAAATTGAATCAATCATGAGTCACGACACACTCCAGCTGCAGGGGGTTTCCCTCCGTACTCTGTACCGTCAGATTCAGCACGTCTCTTAAACCACTGTCCCCACCAGAGCAATCACCGAAGGCATTGACCAGAGCAATCACCGAAGGCATTGACTTTCAAGGATTCCCGTCAGCCTGTCTTTAGGTCCAGCCGCCTTTGCACCTCACATGTCACGAATGAGCGCTGGCTCCCTCCGTCGAACTACACCCTCACAGGGATCCCGCTGTCTCGGACCGGTATGCCTGGTGCGACCATAGCTTTAGCGGCCTGCAGCAAAACCATACTGTTGTCTTTGCTAGATGGTGTCAGAGCACTGACAGACGCCAGTGTAACGCTGCTGGCAGATGAACTGGTAGGTCCCTTCTTGCTTGGAGCCGATGCTGCCCTAGATGGCTAAAGCACGATGTTGGAGTTCACAGGTTCATGCGCTTGGTGTACCGACTGCAAAATTTCTGATTGGCCTCGTCTGTAAAAACTCGAGGCTGCGAATTCATCATGTAAAATGGCAAGTTTAGCAAATGTAAAGCCCGGCCAAGTGCACTCGCCAAAACTTCCCAAAAGACTCGCGGGCCTCGTACGGTATGACTCATGATTTCCAGAAAAAAAGACGTCAACAAAATATTCCGCCGCGGGCCAAACCATCCAGACTTGTACACTCTTGCTTATCTACTCTTGGTACAGTGAGCAGGATAGGCACAGGGTTCAAGAAAAATCCCATCGTGTTCCAAGAATTGCCTTGAAGAAAAAGTAAATAAAAAGTGGAATCGCTGCGAGCAGGGTTCGAACCTGCGCGGGGAGACCCCATTAGATTTCAAGTCTAACGCCTTAACCACTCGGCCATCACAGCTGCCATGGTTTTTAGTATGCACTGTAAGAATCAGTACAGTGTACAGTGCAGTGCAGAAACTGATAATGTGAAATTAATATTTGTGTGTGTGTGCGTGCGTGCGTGCGTGCATGTATGTGTGTTTGCTCTGCAGAGAGGTTTGACTGCCTTTTCGCTGGTAGATGTATTGCTGATCAACAGTGGAGCATCTCCCCGCAGGACTAAGAAGAACCACCCACTGAGGGTAAGCTGTCTCTTCTTGTGTGCTGCTATAGATGTGTGATGTGTATTGTGTGTGTGTGGCGTGCGGCATGGAGTGTGCGAGGTACGACGTGCGCGGGATGTGGTGTGTGGCTTATGGTGTGCGGTGTTCAGGGTACGATGTGTACTGGGCAGGATGTGATGTGTGGTGTAAGACCTCTTGACCCTGGTTGTAGTGGTGCTCTTAGACAGAATGGTAACTGTATTCGAGTGATTACCTTGGCTGGTGTTACTGTACGAGCATAGAGCCTATATGCTTTGGTTCTGCAAGAGTGCTCAATGTCTGATTCAGGCAGAGCGGCATACACAAAGGCACACAATGAAAACCTTGGCAAATTAATTCCGTTGTGACTCAGAGTTTCATGGCTGAACCAATCATCAGACAACTGATGATTGGTTCAGCCATGAAACTCTGAGTCACAACGGAATTAATTTGCCAAGGTTTTCATTGTGTGCCTTTGTGTACGAGCATACACATCTTCAGTACGTTTATAGGGCATGGCCTGACCAACTACCAACTCAGGTTCACTGCCGAGGACATCATGTGTCCCTGCCCCCATATCATGCACAAAGTATGAAAGACAATGATATGGCCGGCGCAGGGAGTCGTCAAATTCGTATTTTATGACTCACTGGCCTGGACCAATCAAAACTGCCTCTGCCACTGAGACAATGCTCGATGTGCTTTGTTCAGAAACCGTGTGTCCCATATGGTCTAGTGGTTTGGATTCGGCGCTCTCACCGCCGCGGCCCGGGTTCGATTCCCGGTGTGGGAACGTTTCTTTTTTCCCTCCACGATAGTACTTTTGTTTTGACTATCGAATGTACGCGGGTAATTTCTGAGGTTTCCGGAATACGTATAGTAAACGAGATTGCAATTCCAGCAGAAAGGGACCGTGGCAATGTATACTTTGCTTAGATCGTACTCATAGCTGCATCTGCACCAGAATGTGTGGTCATTTTTCTTTGCCACCAAGGCAGATTCTGTTCCAAATTGCTGCTTGCTGTATCACACTTGAGCGGGATTCACAGAAGCATGTTTGCGATGCGCGATGTGACGGCCGCAAAACCAAAGGTTGAAGAGTTGCTTCTAGATTTGTAACCGTTTTACCCAGCCAAGCGAATACCATGGCGACGTACTCACCTGCATTGAGCTTCGCGCCAAATCAGCAAACCGATGTTGCATCGCTGACCTTCTATGAATGGTCCTTCGTAGGTTTGCATCGCACGCCGCCGTCGCAGATCACGTCGCATCGCGTATTGCATCGTAAAAAAAAAGCTCTGTGAATCCCTCTTTTACAAAGTTCAATTTCAAATGTCCATCCGGCCTCGAATGAAAATCGAGAAAAAATGAAACGCTGCGAGCAGGGTTCGAACCTGCGCGGGGAGACCCCATTAGATTTCAAGTCTAACGCCTTAACCACTCGGCCATCACAGCTGCCATGGTTTCAGTCATGCCCTGTAGCAATCAGTACAGTCAGTATACAGGGTGTAGTATCCAAACTCTATAAGCATACTTCCACTTAATACATGTACCGTAAAGTACCACCAGAGCGCCCCACCATCTCGTCCTTTCGCGGTCGTATTGTGGAGGTGGTCTCCTGTCTGTAGGTCATTCGACACACGAACTTTGTACACATATTGCACGTTCTGCAGATAATCCGTACCTTCGAACGGACACGAGCTCCACACAGAAACCTGCTTAGTGTGACCTTCGTACACTATGGTTCTCACACCGTACAAACTTCGTGGAACTCTGCCATACGATTTTCCTTTCCCTGGTTGTAAAATAGAGGTAGGGTGCTCTCGCGAGACGGGGCGCTATGGCGGTACTTTACGGTATTAAGTTAGTTGAAAGATCAGCTAGTCAGTCATGCAGCGTGGTGATGGTTTTGGCCGTGGCACCTCAGTTGCTGCGTGGAGTATGAGGTGTACATGTAAGCATGCGTGCAGGCACATGTGTGTATTCGACAGTCACTATTCGTATACGTGTGTGGTCAACATTTGACTTGCCGATTCCTATGGGTGTCTGGGTGGTTCAATGGCCTTCCGATTCCCTGGCCTGGACCAATCGACACTGCCTCTGCCATTAAGACAATGCTTGATGTGCTTTGTTCAGATATTGTGTCTCCCATATGGTCTAGTGGTTAGGATTCGGCGCTCTCACCGCCGCGGCCCGGGTTCGATTCCCGGTGTGGGAACGTTTCTTTTTTCTCTCCACTCCACGATGGCACTTTTGTTTCGACTATCGAATGTACGCGGACTTCTGTGGCTTCCAGAATACTGTAAAACCGGAAAGTCTAATGAGTCACAAAGTCTATCGTTTTAACGACCAATTTTTTTCGTTAGTTGAAGAAACGTTATCGTGAACCCGGTTTGAGATGTCTGTAAAGATGCGCATACATCAATGCATGTTCTTCCGTTGTACAAACATCGTCGACCCCAATAGAAAGTGACCGTGGCAATGTATATATTTATTAGATCGTACTCATAGCTGCATCTGCACCAATATGTGTGGTCATTTTGCTTTGCCACTAAGGTAGACTCTGTTCCAAATTGCTGCTTGCTGTATCAAACTTGAGCGGGATTCACAGAAGCATTTTTGTGATGCGATGCGCGATGTGACGACGGCTGCGAAATCGGGGAATCCTGATTCGCACCCACCATGCAGTTCACGCAACCGTCGCAACTGGCCTATCGCAGAAGTTGAGCTTGGCTCATGCAATGCTATGTACGATTTTGGCCTTTTTGCAGCAAAGTTGTACAAAGGTTCAAGAGTTGCTTCTAGATTTTTAACCGTTTTACCCAACCAAGCGAATACCATGGTGACGTACTCACCTGCATTGAACTCCGCGCCAAATCAGCAAAGCGATGTTGCATCGCTGACCTCTTCTGTGAATGGTACTTCGTCGGTTTGCATCGCACGCCGCCGTCGCAGATCACGTCGCATCGCGTATTGCATCGTAAAAAAAAAGCTCTGTGAATCCCTATTTTACACAATTCAATTTCAAATGTCCATCCGGCCTGGAATGAAAATCGAGAAAAAATGAAACGCTGCGAGCAGGGTTCAAACCTGCGCGGGGAGACCCCATTAGATTTCAAGTCTAACGCCTTAACCACTCGGCCATCACAGCTGCCATGGTTTCAGTCATGCCCTGTAGCAATCAGTACAGTCAGTATACAGGGTGAAGTATCCACACCCTATAAGCATACTTCCACTTAATACATGTACCGTAAAGTACCACCAGAGCGCCCCACCATCTCGTCCTTTCGCGGTCGTATTGTGGAGGTGGTCTCCTGTCTGTAGGTCATACGGCACACGAACTTTGTACACATATTGCACGTTCTGCAGACAATCCGTGCCTTCGAACGGACACGAGCTCCACACAGAAACCTGCTTAGTGTGACCTTAGTACACTATGGTTCTCACACCGTACAAACTTCGTGGAACTCTGCCATACGATTTTTTCTTTCCCTGGCTGTAAAATAGACAGTGGCGTGCACCGAGTCTTGAAAGGGGGGTTTCTAGAGTTGGTAAAAATTTCTGGAGACCCACTGTATAATTTATTAATTACTTCAGTATGTATTTTTGCACATGCGCATCCCCCGAACATCCTGTCGGAGATAACGGTGAGGGCTAGGGAGGAGGGGGGGGGGGGAATGGATTGATTGGATTGCAGGGCACCAATATGGCAATAAAAACTGGTGCTGATGAGATGTGGGGCTCCTCCGACTGCCATCATGCCGGCACAAACACGTCTGAGAGGGAACCAGGTCCAGGGGTAGAAAGGACAGAAATAAGACGGTAATGAGAAATGGAGGGAGGAGACGATGTTGCATTGAAATGTTGGTACATATACATGACTGTATCACCGGTAGCAGGATAACGGGTAACCTTTTACATACCAGCACTTATTTGCAAAGAGGGTGCAAAAGTCAATGTACTCATATACATGATGTTTGTCATATTGAACACGTAAAAGTTTGATAGGCCTAGCCGCCCAAGCTACACTACAGTCTACTACATGTACTTCACTAGTCCACTCCAGGCATATTCGTTTCATCAAAACACTGCTTACATTCGACGTATCTTTCTTTCTGTTCTTACCGTATGACGAAGTTTTCAGTATGTATTGGCAATGTTCCACATGATTTCAATAAGGAGATATGGACCTTGCTTCGATGGAAACTCGCGGAAGAAAAGCGTCCTTCAGTCGTGGCCGGAGCAGTCCTTCGTTCTGAAGCAGCGCAAGTGGATCATGGACGCACATTTTGACGTCTTCCAGTCGACAACGTTTTTGACGAACGTCTCTCCTGTGCACATGAGCGAGAACGAAAGGTTGTGGAGATCTTGATTTGAGTCAACAATTTGGAAGGAGATATCGTCAATCATATCCTTGCATCGCGCGTGCTTGACTCAAATTTCGAGACAAAACGGATTTCTTCAACGTCATCGCCAATCCAGGAGCGGACCAGAGCTAAAGATCGATCTCTCTGTAGCTAGAGCTAGAGATCGATCTCTCCGTGGCTACTCTCCACTGAAGAAAGAGAGAATAATGTATTTTGAACTGCATGCAAAGGAACTCTCTTTCTCACTTCGAAATAAGGACATAGTCACTGTACTATAAACTGCCCGTCGATCGACGCGTTTGCAGGATAACCAATCCAGTAGGTACGCTTTTCGTTTGGCAAGATTGCCCAAAAAAAGGTGGTTTCCAGACACCAAAAAACTCATACGGTGCACGCGCCTGATAGAGGTAGGGCGCTCTCGCGAGACGGGGCGCTCTGGCGGTACTTTACGGTATTGGGTGAAAGACCAGCGAGTCGGTCATGCAGCGTGGTGATGGTTTTGGCCGTGGCACCTCAGTTGCTGCGTGGAGTGCGAGGTGTACATGTAAGCATGCGTGCAGGCACATGTGTGTATTCGACAGTCACTATTCGTGTAAGTGTGTGGTCAACATTTGACTTGCCACAGCGAT